TGTAATGTAGCTCAGCTGTTTCTCATAAAAATATGAATTCTTCCAATACAGCACTGCTCTAGACAGCCAACCACCCCTCATCTGCCCCAGAGTTCAGCTGTTTCATCTGTCACACTGGTGCCTTAATTCTTCAGAATGTGATAGTGCTGTAATGTGGTCTTTGTGCTGTAATTTGCACACAGTGACTCCAGTGTTTGCAGCAGTCTGAGGAAGAGGAGAGTGATCTGTACACAGCTCCTGGTCAGGCCTGTGAATCTGAAAGAGAGGCTTTGTCTGCCATATGCAGCAGTGCTGAAACCGAGCACTCACAGATTACAGGCTAAAGACTAACTGCATGAGAAGCCCCTTCATCGCATAAAATGTCACCACGACTCTGCAATACATGCAGTACTGAACAGTGAAAGGGTCACAGAAACACACAGAACATGGCAGCAGCATCTCCTTCTGTCTGAACTCACCTGAGAGAGGAGCGTCAGTCAAGATTATACGTCATTACAAACTCACTTGTGAATGTCACATTTCAGAATTTAGACTGAACTGCTTTTTTAGTGAAGAACTTTGGATGGATAAACAGATTTTAGATTTCCTATTAAAGTGTCAGCCATGATCTGTGTGTGTGTGTGCGTACTGATATTTCAAATGTGACCCATTCGGTTTCAGAATCAGAATTTAGAATTAAAAAATTTAGAGTGCTTGCATGATTAAGCTTTTAACACCGAATGTAATATAATTAATTCACAAAACAAGTTTGTACTCAGGCATGAAAAATTTAAAACAACAAATGTTTAGTGCATCTGAGCTGTGATAAAAACCGGTCACATTCAGCAGCATGTTTAGTGTTTATTCTGTTGTTACGTCTTATGTCTTTTTTGAAGTGTTTTGTTGTTGTGTTTTTGAGTGTGTGTGTTACAAGATAAAGGTCTGGCCTGCACTCAAGCCAGCAGAGATCCTGATTGGTCTGGTTCTGGTGACAAGGACCACCCAAAACACACTATCGAAGCCGAATTCATGCCATTTGTTCTGCTCGGCCTTGGTTTCCTCTTTATAAAACTTGCTTGTGTTCAATTCGATTTACAATTCTTAGCATTACTTTTGCCTTTTGTTATATTGTGTAAATATTATGTACATATTCAGTTTAAGGGAAGTGTGTTGCCATTTCTTTTGCATATATCGTTTGTTCTATGTTTTGGGTTAATGGAGATAGGGAAGTTGCGTTGTATTTTGTGTTTTCTTTCTTTTAGGGAATTTAGAGGGTACTAAAACTAGTTGTTTGTTATTTTGGCCTTATCCACTCCTGAATTGAATCCCTTTGTTTCTGGTTTTCCCTATATTTTTGTTAATAAATCTACTATTATTAAAGATTAACTTTGTGAGGGAGCGCACATTCATTTATGTTCACTGTTCATTTTACACTTTCATAACCTTATAAAATGTAATATATATATATATATATAAACACAATCTCAAATCACATTTGTGAAAGCAAACGTTTCTAGCAAAAACTTATGGAGCTCTGAAGGTCTTAACTAAGAAGGCTGTTTTTAATCAGTTATGAAAGAGAAAGAGAAATCCAGGGATTTTGAAGCTGTAAATTGGGATGTCTTCCATGAGCGTCTAATTGCACGCCTGCTGTTGTCAAGGCATGGAAGGTGACAGCAGGTGAAAGCCAGTCATGTTTTTCAGGGTTCTGGAATTTAAATGTGCCTTTCTCTCTCTCTCTCTCTCTCTCTCTCTCTCTCTCTCTCTCTCTCTCTCTCTCTCTCTCTCTCTCTCTCTCTCTCTCTCTCTCTCTCTCTCACACACACACACACACACACACACACACACACACACAAACATGAGTGTGAGTGTGAGTGGCAATCAAGCTTCTCTCGGGATGAGCGCGGTCTGCACTCACGCATTCTCTCTGTCCCTGGATGTCAGTCACTGTCAGAGTGTCAATTGTGCCAGGAGCGTCACGCCTGATTATATATTTTTATTTTTTATTTAAAGACTCATCAATTCCTCAAACCACCAAGGTCATTGTTGCACCAAACCAGTTCAAGTGCTCCGGCACGTGGTTGAAAGGCACATTATTAGAGCTCTGAGTTCAGAGAAGTCTCCACTGAATATGTTACAGTACAGACTCACAGGCACATGTGCTCCGTCAGGAAAATGTCTCATCATACGGCCTCTCACTTGATTCTGTTTTTAATGCTAATATAAAGTATTTGAAATCCAAATAGCATCTCCTGACTACATCCAGCTTTTTCAACATGCTGGAGGCTATAAAAAAAGAAATTCTATTCCGTCACAAGGAGATGTTCACCATAGCCTGATGGTTTGTGCCACAGCACTTTCTATAGAATAATTGAAAGAGGAAAGTGGATATGGAATAGCGCAATAATAATAAACATTTATACTGCTGATTTATATGGAAAAATCTACACGCTGGTTCCTACGATCACACTGCAATAGAAATGTGTAATGTGGACACGCATGACGGCACTGCTCTCACTGGAAATGTGTGTATTCATCGCTTGGCCATTACATTAAAAGCTAGCAATAGTGTCGGTTTTTGTGAACAGCAAAAGCTTTTATCTTAATATACATAGATGATGTGATAATTTACGTGCTCCGGTTTCAGTCAACAGTGTGAGTCTTAGCTTGGATGTTTCACAGAATAATTTCTCAAGGGTAACCAAATTAATGCACTTGTTTTTTCTTCAAGCTGGTGACTCTGCAAATCAATGCAGAGAACAGCACTGAGGGCCTGTCAATCCTCTAATTCAATTCAAAATCTATTTTCGATTCTTCTAAATCAATCCGTCCTCAATCCAATATTGCACTCAATAAAGCTTCGGTCACAGCTAGTGAGTTCTGGAGAAGGGCTCTTTGTGAAACAAAGAATTCAATCAATCCAATGAAAGCTTTTTGAGAATTTCACCAGTATGTGAACGACACAATATCAAAAACCGTTACAGCAGATCTGCATGGATACTAAAACTGGGCCGTTACTCTGGATACAGGTGCATTCTACACTGTTAACTTTTAGGCATGAATTTATATGTCTTTTCACATCAGTGGATGCAATTACGTCAGTAAATAAGTCAGCTCTGCAGTGCAATAACACTGGAGGGGAACAAGGACTGCAGAGGAAGGCGGACACCCACCGCAGTGCTGAGAGGGGGGACCGCTCCCTGTCTCCGAATGGAAATTAATCCCCCAAAAAACAAGCTCATCAGTATTCTGCTCACACAGCCTCCAATCGCAAAGAAGGGCGGTGGGAAGGGTGCAGGAGAGTCCTGACTGGCTGCAAGAGCACTCCCAACACCCAAAATGTGCCTATTCTTTCTTCCTCCAACTTCATTACTCGCTAGTTGTGTTTAGACAGCATTTCAAAACTATTCCCTCTTTTAGCAAGTCGTTTTTACCTTGAGAATCAAACAGGAATGACGGGCGTCCTTGCGTCTGTCTGTCAGGCAGCTTTAAAGAAAAGCCAATCCACCAGAATAAATTATGTGGACATTATCATAACACAAAAAGATCCATCCAATCCAGGATAAATTGCTTCATGCTTTCAGGCGCCTCAAATTGCCCATATGACAAGTTTTTTTTTTCTTTCTTCTCTCTATGGGTTGGAATATATTATTTCTGTCTTACACCTACATTTAAATGGGTGGAAGAGGAGTAACATGGCTGCATGCTACTGATACTGTACATGTCAACCAAACACACTTCTTACACATGAGATTTGCTTCCTCCTTTTATGTAAATCTGACTAAATTGCGGTGGATGAACACTTGAGGGAGTTGGGGGAGGTTAATTGTGATTGGATGACAGTTTCTTTCTTTCTTTCTTTCGTTCTTTCTTTCGTTCTTTCTTTCTTTCTTTCTTTCTTTCTTTCTTTCTTTCTTTCTTTCTTTCTTTCTTTCTTTCTTTCTTTCTTTCTTTCTGCCTATGCAGAAGTTTTAATTTTTAAATTAGTTATTGCACAAATCAAAACATCAATTTTAGCTCTGATTTCTAGCTCACTGCTGATATCAAAGTTTAACTCTCCTTGTGTCTGATTGACCACATTTACCAAAAAACAACTGCCTTGGAGTCACTTGCCGAGCCCGCAGTTTCAATAGGTCAGAAATTTCAATCCAGTTTCTGTTACATTTCTCAAAACAAGACTGACAGGGAAATGTGACAAATTCACAAGAACAGAAATGTGCATGTAACTTCCCTCTAATGCATGCAATTCAAGACTTAAGATGACATTTAGAGGTGTTTAATCAGGGAAGCATCACTTATTACTGCTCAAACTAAGTGTGTGTGTGTCATCCTGCAGTGTTTGTGCTTCAGATATGAATGATTCCTAAAATGATTCATGTTGTTGAGGAGAGTTTGCTGCTACTACTAGGTGATCAGACACCCATTTTGGACCAGAAAACAGCTGCAAAAATCCCATTGGAAGAAGGGACCTGATATCAAAGAGACTCAGAACACCATAGAAGCCACTCAGAACACCATAGCAACCCCCTGGAAACCACCCATAACCTAACATTGTGGCGCCAACTACTGCACAGTGTACGACTCTGAGCGTCTGTCACGTCCTCAGCACATGCACACTGAGCTCAGATTAGCTGCCTTTAATTGCTGCCACAAACTGTGATGAGATCAGATGTAGACACTCCCTGTTCTGGAAGAGAGATTCAGGGAGTTATGGCTCAATGGCCCAATGTCAAAGGGTGGAGAACACAACCACAGCCTCTCTCTGTTTGACTCCCTAACTGCCTACACTCTATTTATCGTGCGTCTTTTCAAATCTCCACAGGTTTAGATTGTAAGTAAAACTGCAGATGCAACTGAGTTAAAAAACAATGCAGAAGTGACATAACTGAGTCAAAGCACCAACAAGCTCTGTGGTTTTTTTTGCGTTATTTAAAATGTAAGATTCTTTTTCTCCTTGTGATAAATAATTGACATCGCTCATGTAAGTAACAGTGTGACACATCATCACTACACATCGCAACCATCTCTTACATCATCCTTGACTCCTTTTCCGTCATATTTCAGCAATTCCCGGCTGTCAAAGAGCTGATGTAGGAGTCCGTTGACTAACGCCATGCGCATATGCGGCTAATGAATCCTCCTCAAGAGAAAGAGTGACGAGTTCCGCAGATCAAACACTGAGAAAGAGAGAGAGAGAAAAAATGTAAACAGAAATGTGCTGTTAGTGCCACTTTGCCATCATCGCGTCCCGTTTGAATGCTTAGCCAAGAATAACAATCCATAATTCATGAGCTGCCGTCTAGTCCACAGACACAAGTCAACCAAGCATTTATTATTCATTGGCACACACCTCATGTGATGAGCTCCAACAAATAGGTTTCAGGCCTGCTTTTTCTGTAAATCATTTATTTTAGTTTTAGTTTCGTTTGTTGCTTTTTTTCTTCCCTGTTGTGTTTTTTTTTTTTGCATGTTTTATATATGAAAAGGGGATTAAATCATCAACTGGCAGCAATTAGCTGTTATTAACTGGTATTAGCATAAACAGAGCGAATGAGCATTAGAAAAATGCCCTGAAAAGACTTAATTTCAAATTCACCAGACCTATTAAATCAGTCTAGCATATTAACATACATGAATCACCGTGTATGATCATGAACTGCACATAACACTGTTTTATGTGAACGGTAGGGGTCAGAGGTCACGAGCAGCTTCTGCAGCTGTTTATGAAAATGCACAATCACTCACACCAGACCTCTGCCATGTTAATGTGCAGTCATTAGCGCTGTGAGAATAGCTGGATTTGATCATTTCTGTTGTGTGGAGGGATCCTGGGGCACATGTTTCCTCCGCTTTAATCAAATTTGAACCAAATTCACATCTGATTTAGCTGTTTATTTCTCCCAGCGCTCCTGATGATATGCGTGTGTTGGTGACCTACTTTTGCTTGAGCTGATTCAGCAAGAGGCAGTGGGGTGCAGGATTCATGGTCCCTCATGTTGATCTGTCTATTGTGTTTCAGTTTGTGTGTGTGTGCGTGTTTATATGTATATACGGGTGAGAGTGTGGCTGCCGTGTGTTTAGTAATATCAAAATGCTGATAAAAACAGTTCTGCACACTGTAAACGAACAGACACTTCCTCATGTCTTAAAAGTTAACAGGAAACGTTCACAACAAAAAAGTGGAGCAAGATGGATTAAGACAGTAAAAGGAGTTTGATCTCAAACTTTGAACTCAACATCTGCAAATGTGTTGCTGTCTGATGTGATGGAAGAACATCTCTCATAAAATGTAAAGAGGACAACACAGAGACAAAGCCAGTTCCCAGAGGAATGGATGCATTTCCTCAGATAAACAGGAGTGAATCCTGTAACATGGTCACTCAGGAACGCTGTGGTCTGCACACGCTCAGTCAGTGGTTATGTATACACACCTTTTGTTTCAATAGGAATTAATTCATTCCGGTTGATCAGTCCGGCCGTAGTGTTTACATGAACACTAAATAAAGTGACCGGGTTGATGTGTGCATTTACAGTATATGTCACAAGCTTCTAATCAGAATTGTTTTTTGTTTTTTTTTGACATGCTAATACTGCATGAATATGCATAGTTTGCAGTTGTTTGCACATACTATTCTCCAACATTGCTTCTTTTCTTTGTTTTAAAGACTTAAAATGTATCTATTTCGTTCCTGATTAGGAGACGATGACCACATGAACCGTTGTGCAGTGCTGTTATATTTATCAAGCACTATAAACGCCCCATTCCCGTGCCCAAAACAAAGTGCCTGTGGATGAGAGTATGAAGTGAGGACTGATGGGACGTAGCTCTGCTCCACTTCACAGACGATGAGTGGTAGGGGAATTTTTAGATTAACACAACAGTCATTTATGACATTCTATTTAACAACAACTGCAGCTTGTTCCGTGTGTCATACGTCATTATGCCATCATTGCACATCGCAGTCCTTTCCGGTTTCGGTTTTCAATCTGATCAAGTGTTGTCCTCTCGATCAGATTAGAAAATTAATTAACCACCCCTTCCAATCCAATCGAAATTTAATTCGGATCGAGCTCAATCGGATCGATTAAGGTGTTTACATGAAGGCTTTCAGTCCGATTGCCAAACGATTATTTGGTTGCATTTAAACGTAGTCAGTGTGTCTGCTAAACACTGAGGGTTTTCAGGATGAGGACACCCTATGCAGTTGTAACTGGCTATTGTTGCATTATATTACAGCAACAGCCTCAATGAGACTGATGAGAAACTGTGCTAAACAGTATTTCATGTCTTATCTGAATGACTGCCCTCTGTTTGGGCTCCCAGAGACCTAAGGATGTGTATGTTAAAGTAACACAAATGAAAAATACGTAGCATCTAATTTCCCTTTTAAAACATTTTTAAAAATTATTCTGAGAAGACAACCAGCGAATACAAATCTGAAAGGTTATTTAAAAACATATAAATGCAGTTTGACTTTCTGTTTGACTTTCACTAGTTCACACTGAGCTTAGAATTTGTCCCGAACCCAGATACCCAGAATTTGCTTTTCTATAAACAACACCTACTGTCAGAGAGTGAAGCTGCATTTTCATTCAATCCATCAGCTGTTTTTTTTATTTTTTATGAATTTATCTGAACAGACAAATTTGCATGTGAAAATTTGACAGAAATTTTGTGCCGAACATTTCTATTGGATTGAATACGTTTTTATACTTTACCTGGAGTCTCTGAGACCCCAAACAGAAGTAATGCACTTTTATGGAAGTTTGGATGTTTGATACGTTTAGCTTGCTAGTAATCAGTAAGGAAATAACATCTGATCAGCTGAACTATGATCTAGAACTTTGAATATAAGGACGTTTGGGTCTCTCATCCCTGAAACATTAGTAAAAGGTGCATGCTGAATGTGTATCCTAAAATATGCCAATGACAGAAGTATTACATTCTACATCACTTTTGTGAAGTGTTTGAGAAAATGATGGTCTGCTTGTGAAGATATGACAGCAAAACACCAGAACAGGAGTGGAACAGATTCATGCAGCCATTAAAGCAAAGACACAAGTAACAACAAGAACTCTCTACCATTACACACGCACACACACACTTGTTCTCTGTCTGTGTGTGTGTGTGTGTGTGTGTGTGTGTGTGTGTGTGTGTGTGTGTGTGTGTGTGTGTGTGTGTGTGTGTGTGTGTGTGTGTGTGTGTTAGGGGTGGGGGAAAAATCGATTCTTAGATGCATCGCGATGCGGACGTGGACGATTCTGAATCGATTCACAATTGTCAAAAATCGATTTTCAAAAAAAAATAAAAAAAATTTAGATATATATTTATAATAACGTAATATTGACGGAACGCGAAAGACGGAACTCTGAAGCGCGGAAGTGCAGTGGCCGGACCGTCTGTGGCGTGCACATAACAGACGCGGACGCGATGGCTGAGCGCCAAATCCAAACACCCTCCTCGTTAAAAGCTGACGTGTGGAAATATTTTGGCTTCTGAAGTTGAAGCGGGAAAGGAGCTGGACAAGAGCCACACTAGTTGTAAGCTTTGTAGAGTAAAACTAAAATATTTCGGAAACAAGACACATATGAGAAGCCATATGACACGTTTCCAGCCAGAGGAGGAAAAACACTCGGCTGTAACGTTACCGGTCGGTTATATTATTAATTTACTACAAATATGCTGCTGCTAGTTCAGACACACATGTAATTTCCTGTTGGTTCTTTGCAATGTTAATAAAATATATTGTACGTTAATTCTTAATGGGTCATTACTTTCTACTTTTAAAGCAAAGTATTTATAGTCACACACACACAAAAAAAAGATTCTGATAATCGATTTAGCATCGAATCGCAGCCCTCTGAATCGTAATCGAATCGAATCGTGAGGTGCCTAGAGATTCCCACCCCTAGTGTGTGTGGCCTCATCTGATTCATCGTCTCATGTTGAACAAATCTGAGTTTGAACAAATCAAAGTTTGTCCAGACAAGAGTCATATTTTACCAGGTTATTTCTTTAGAAGTACATCTATGATAATGATCAAATTAAAGCCACGCTACATAGAGGACAGTAATTGCAACCTCATTTGCATTAACGGTCTTACCTTATGAACTTGTGTGATTTTTGTACAGCTCTGCACCTATAAACACAGTATGCATGTCGAGACGCGAGTGAAAGTAGATGTCACGGCTAATGAAGGAGCCAGGCAGAGCGACACGCGCTAACTGCATGAGAGGGCCATGATGTCTCAACCCTCTAGCACACTTAGCCCTACTCCGGATTTAACTAGAGAGATGCGGGCCCTCTATAAAATGCTATCGGTAAACACCATCCACCGTGTCCTTTCCTGCTAGCTACGGCAATGGCTCAGCCACCTCTTCACCCTGTTGGCTACAAACCGTTTGGTTCCTGAAAAGGGAGGTCAGAGGTCGTCACCTAGGTGCGGACCATTGTTAATCCCAATGGTATTATGCTAAATATCCAATCGTTTAACTTTCGCTTAATCTCCCCTGTGGTTACCCTAAAGGAGCACTTCTTTAATGGCAATAACGTTGTTTTTCTGAGAGCAGTCATGCAAACAATAGTAGTGCAGAGACAGCGGTCTCTGAGGGTTAGCAAATGGCTCAGTAACATGAATCAGAGTGACCAAAGAATGTGTGGCGTCTGCCCTGCTGGAAACGGGCAATTATGTAAATAATGTGTGTGATCTTTAAAAATAAGAACATCGTCTAGAACTAAGTGGGTTAGAATCTGCATGTCAGGACTCGAGGACTTGCTGTTACTGGCTCAACGGCAGCTCTATCTTCATGTTTCAGCCTGCTGGACAGACTATAAGTCTTCCGTCCTATCTAATGCCTGTGTGACGTATCCCGAATAATCTCACACCTGTTCGTTCAATAAGGCCATGGGCAAATGAGCCTGGTTTCTCCCAATGTTTTTTCCTCCCTTTCTTTCAAATGATGGAGTCACATTTGGCTTGCTTGATGGAGACACTTAATATCCAGCAATATTACTGATTTAACTGCACTGACAATATTGGATGAGAAACAAACTTGAACTGAGTTGAGCTGAATAATGACACTATTGTCTTCTGCTTTATAGCGGAGTAAAAAAAAAAATTCGAAACTGATGAAGTTTGCAACATTGGTACCTTTATTGAACTAAATTGAATCAACAGTAAACTGACTCGAGCTGAATAACGACACTGTTATCTTCAGTAGAGCTGCTTATAGCTATATTGAACTTGTTTCTTAATGAATTTAATTTAGTCATGTCACTGAACTGAATCATCACTGAACTGAATTGAGTTGAATAATAAGTTTGCATCATTAATT